TCATCCATCTTCCCAGAATTCCCTGTTTCATTAGAATTTAATAGTATTCTTTTCTTATTGCTAGAATTATCTTCTGGTTATGGCAGGTAATGTTGGTAAGTAATTGTAATGTGTTGTATATAAATGAAACAATATTAGCTATCTAATAATAGATCCCATTTACTGAGTACTTGTTGTTTAGTAAATGCTTCCCTTAGATTTTTTCTTCTTTGGTCTTAAAAATTGAGTAGCTATAGATGTTATTGTACCCTTTTTTAAAAAGGTTTTTTGTTGTTGTTTTTGAGACAGAGTCTCACTATGTCACCCTTAGTAGGGTGCTATAGTATCACAGCTCACAGCAATCTCAGACTCTTGGGCTTAAGCAATTCTCTTGCTTTAGCTTCATTATATGTGGCTGGCACCCTACTCACTGAGCTATGGGCACTGAGCCAAAAACTTTTTTTTGTTGAGAGGGGGTCTTGGTGTGTTGCCCAATCTGGTCATGAACTCCTGGCCTCAAACAGTCCTCCTGAGTAGCTAGGATTATAACCATGCACCATTGCATTTAGCTCATCTTAAATATGAAGATGCAGAAGTTCAGTGAAGTAATGTGATGGGTTTGGCTAGTCAGAGGGAATTGTCCACTTCCATGAGATAACTTCCAGTGCCGTCACAGCCCTGTAGATTTGATGATCTTGTGAAGGTCAACATCTGTAGGGAGGTAGTAGCACATGACTTTAGAGGTGACATATTATTGGAGCCCTCAAGGCAGGTGATAATTATGTGGGTATGGCTAAGAGAATATTTACCATGATTTAGATAATGTACTTTTTTGTAAATTGTGAAAAGCTTTTTCAAAACCGTACTGCCTCAGAATGTTTGGCAGTTGTGCCACGGAAGTGCAGACTGAATGGTCCCAGAAAAGCATTTGTTTCAGGTAGGCTATAAATTTCTGAACAGTCTGCTATGAGGATTTCTGTTATATAGTAACAAAATGGCATAAGGATGGTCATTGCCTTTTTTAAGTAAATGTAAAACCCATCTTTCCGGCTCAGCGCCTGTGGCTCAAGTGGCTAAGGCACCAGCCACATAACCTAAGGTGGCAGGTTTGAATCCAGCCCGGGCCCGCCAAACAACAATGATGGCTGCAACCAAAAAATAGCCAGGCAGTGTGGTGGGCGCCTGTGGTCCCAGCTACTTGGGAGGCAGAGGCAGGAGACTCACTTGAGCCCAGGAGTTGGAGGTT